AGGAAATCTTACTTTTCTTTTCCCTCACGTACAAGTCACGGTAGGGCCCCAATCCTTTTTTTTCCTTGTTTAAAAACTTCAGAATTTATATGTTCTTTGCTGAATTTTTACATTTAATATTAGGGAATTTTTTAAATTTTAGGTTATTTCTAAGATAGTTTTCTCGTCCAAACTTGTCTGATTGAAGATAATATTGTGGGGGTTCAAGAGCCATTACATAAATAAGTGCAACTAACATGGAAGGAGATTATGCTTCAAGACTATTTGTATTAAGTCAAGGAGTTTCATGGGAAAAGTTAAGGAATTTAGTGGGAAAAGCAAAGTTCAAGATGTTCTCAAAAAAAATGATTCGAAATCTTGCTGTCTTTTTTTTTGGTGTGTGATGAAGTTTGCCTCTTTCGACTTTTGAACTTTAATCTAATATATAATATATATGATAATATATATAAGTATATATATATACTATATATATATATATATAATTATATATATATCTATAAATATATATAATATATATATATATAATATAACGAGAGAGAGCGAGAGAGAGAGAGAAGCGTAGAGGTGATATTATGGGTATCCTGTCATAGGAGAGGATTTCCTCCTTGACGGCCTCTAAAATACATGAATTGAATCGACATTATGATATCCGCGTCCGTTGAAACTTGATCTACATATTCTAAAACCCAACACACCCAAGTTTGGGGTGGAATCCGTCGTCGTTTGACCCTCTCATCTTGAGCCTATGGAAAAGTCTATTCCATTCAAAACCGTGCTAATAATTGAGTACGAGTGGATGAAAGGGTCAAACGACGACGGGTTTACCCCAAACTTAGTGGCTGTTGGGTTTGTTAGAATAATGTAGATCAAAGTTCAACGAGCGGATGCATCCACAAATGCGGTCATCTATGTGATTTTAGTAGGGCGTTAAGGAGGAAATCCCTCTCTATGACAATGATACCCCATTAATCTCATATAATATTATATATATAATAATTAGTAATAGGTATATATATATATATGAGTATATATATATGAGATTAATGGGTATCCTTGTCATAGGGAGGGGATTTCTCGCTTGACGCCTCCTAAATTCACATGTTTGAGGATAATTAATGGATGATTCCGCTCCGTTGAACTTGATCTACATATCTAAATCCAACAACACAAGTTTGGGGGTGGTGAATCCGTCGCGTTGACCGCTCATCGAGCCATGTGAAAAAGTCTAATGTCATCAAAACCGTTTAAAATTGATTAACGAGTGGATGAATGGGTCAGAACAACGACGGTTTCACCCCAAACTTGGTGTGTTGGGGTTTTAGAATATGTAGACTCAAGTTCAGACGGAGGCGATTCATCCACAATGTTCGCTCAATCATGTGATTTTAAACGGCTCATATCTGAGCGAAATCCCCTCTATACACGGGATACCGCTTAATCTCTCTCTCTCTCTCTCTCTCGATCCATCTCTTCTTCTCTCTTATATATATATAATTAAGTATATATATAGTATATATTATAATATAATATATATATATATATATATAATATAATATATATATTAGATATTTATATATATATATATATATATATAGTCTATATAGAGAGAGAGAGAGAGAGAGAGAGTAAGACTCATATCAACTTAAGTTGATGTCCACCAAACTTCATAGCTACTCATTTATTAATATAAAAAACCTTTTCATATCATGCAAGAATACCTAGGCAATATGAGTAGCTAAAAAGTTTGGTGGACAACTTTTTGCTATCCACTGAAGTTGACACAAGTTTTGCTCTATAGAGAGAGAGAGATTTATTCAGATGCGAAATGATTTTTGCACAGCAACGCGCGAAAACGATTTTCGGCCGTTGGATTTTTCTTCGTTTGATGAACGGTTGAGGGATAATCTCTTTAATTGCCCCTCTCTTTCATTCTTTCTCTCTCCGGGACCCCCCCCTCCCCCCAAAGAACCCTCACAGCAACCGAGGCCTCTCTCTTCTTCCTCATCAAACCACACAGCAACCTAGCTCATCCCTCTCTATCAGAAAAAATAAAAAGAAAAACAATAAGCTCATCGGAAAATCCCCAGCTCATCCCTCTCTATCGGATCATCAACTAATCACCCACAAAAAAAAGCTTGATCAGACCTCTCTCTTATGTACGGAAGGGTCAGCGAAAAACCCCCCATCTTGGGTCCTTGAAGCTTATTATTTGAGGCCAATCATGCATATATGCTCAGTTTGAGCTTATTATTTGATGGTATGCTGAGCCTATAAAACAACATGGATTATGAGGTAAGTGAACCAATCCAATACAAAGTCCTGTGCAAGCGAGCTCGATCTTCATCCATTTTCTCGAGAACGCGATCAATGTCCTTGAAGAATCGTTTTTTGCGGTTGATTTGGGGATTTGATAATAGGTCGTTGTCCTTGAGATCTTGCATGCTTTTTGCGGTTGATTTTATGGTCATAAGTTGATTCAGTTCAAATACTTGTCCTTGACCTGGATACAACATGAAAATAAATTTATTTTATTCTTGGAACCTAATTACTTGCTACTTCACATTTTAACTCATTTCATATGAAGCATTCATGTAATTCAATTTGGTGAACATATTCTTATATCATGAAACTTCATAGCACTAATTTGGTGAATATATTTGTCATGAAATTAGCAGTTAGGCTAAGTTGTGGAGAAGAAGAAGAGCAATCTTGGAAGAAGAAGAAAAGACTAAATAGTTTTTTCGGGATGTCTGCAAAAAGTTTTTCCTCGATGTTCAATTGCTATATGATCTTTTATAAGTGGATGTCAATTTCTATGTGAGATCTTCATGTGGTTGAAATGGGTCTTATATTGTACTATTTAATGTATGAACGGTGTAATGTTTTGTGTTCAATAATTAGAAGTTGTTGAAGGACAGTAATTGCTGCTTATATCGTGGTTGTGTTCTTTTATTTTTTTTAATGTTTATAGTATGTTTTCTCTAAGTGTCGTTCATCTAGTAACTCAGAGTAGTTCTTTTGTATGGCATAATCGTGCACAGAGACACGGACTCTACAATATCTGAATTAACCAAATCCAAACACATACTGACAGTAGATCATCTCCAACTTGTACCCGTCATATATTAAAAAACAGTAATAGCGAAATCTTTTGAATCCAGGGTACATCTCAGCCAAAACAATCCAGATTACACAAATAAGCAACAAACAACAAAGATTCGAAGAGAGTATATACACAAATCACAAAGCCAAGGCACAAACAAACAATCACCGACCAAACCAAATCTTTTGAGGCTGGTGTTCGTGGAAAAATTTGTAGTAAAAGAAATGAAGGAAAAATTTTATTTGTATTCCTTTAATCTCAGTTACAATTGGATTTTCTGATTACAAAAGAGAGGAGAATAAATTTGATTCTCCCCTTTGTTTAAAACCGGGTTCTTCTTGGTAGCGATGGAATGCCTCCTTCGAATGCTTACGTCGAATTTGCTCTCCGTTGACGATCAGACCATCTTGTCTCACGGGAATGATTAACTTGTATGACAATTTTGATTTAGAACTCTTAGTGAGTTTAAGAACTCAGAATGAGTTGAAAAACTCTGGAAAGAGTTGTTGAAAACCGAATAATCGGTTAGTAGCAAAGTGGATTTGTTTGTTGTTGAAGAATCCTCCGAGGTTTGATTCTCTAACTGCTGAGCAGTTCTTTGGTCTTCAGCAATCTCCCCTCTCCGCCCAAGAATCCAACCTTATGCGGTTTTTTTGATCTCCAAATCTCCAACCCCTTACTCAGTTGAGTAATGTGGTTATTTATAGGGGGATAAGGGGTGTAACCAACCCCTAAATCCCCTCCTAAGTGGGAGAAAATCCCTCAAAACGTGGGATAAACGGTTTTGAGGCTGTTCAGCTTGAGTTTGAATAAGTCAAACGCCTAAATTGGTGTTCTGGACCTTAACTCCGAGTCTTAGACTTGAGACGCAGAGTTGGGTATCTGCGGATGATTGAAACGCACAGGCCGCTTGCGTTCTGGGTTTTAACTCTGCGTCGCAGAGTTGAGTGTCTGCTAAAGAAAGCACAGGCTGTGTGCGTTTTGAGTTGAGAAGCGCAGAGGTGGACTCTGCGTTTGGGAGAGGTTGTTGACTTGTAACCTCGTCTATTACAGCATCGCGAAGACTAATGCTCATTGATCTTTACTTTAGCTGTTATGGGGTGTGAAAGTCGTCAGATTGTAACTCTCACAGTTGATTGTAAAGGCTACTGAATAGAGTTTTTATCAGTTGTCGGAAGTGTCGTTGAATTGTAACTCTTCTCGATCTATGTGAAAAGTCCTCCGTTTGCAGCTTTCATTTGTTGACATGAAAGTCATCCGATTGCAACTTTCGTTGTTGAAGCTTAATGGGGATCAACTATTTATTATGATTTTTAGACCGCCTACAGAACCCCCTCCAAAGTTTTCGAAAGTTCGCGGTTGACTGAGATGAATTTTCGGAATACTTTGGACCCC